ACGTTCATATATGAATGTTTTGAAATAAAAATCCGACTATGTATTTCGACAACTTCATGAATGTTTGTACAAATGTCAATTACTCTGTCGGGATTATATACTCAAATTTTTACACACACACACACACACACATACACATACGCACACCCACACACACACACACACACATATATATATATATATATATATATATATATATATAAATATAAAAGTGAACATTGAAGTCAACACTTAGAGGCGACAGGCTGTTTCATGCTAAACGCAATCGTGGCCTGACGATATATATATATATATATATATATATATATATATATATAAATAGCCCGAAGATTACGCTTAAACATAAAACAGACTGTCGCTGATTGGTGTTGACTTGATATATATATATATATATATATATATATTAACAAATATACAGGGGGCGATGGATAAATTGTCGTCTCAATGACGCCAAAATGAAAATAACACTGACATCTCATTTTGATAGCTATATTTACCAAAAATGACACAAAAATATCTTGAAATACTAAAGAGTAATTTTATTCAATAAATTCGCTATTGACTTCAGCCACGGCCTCCAGCTGACTTCGGAATCTCCTGTTACTCTTCTAGGCGGATTTCGTGATTGAGTTGGTAAAGGCTACCATAATCCTTGCCATCGGTTCTTCATTTTCGGTGTAACAAGAAGTTTTGTTGGTCTCTCACTCAATTGCGCCCCACACATAATAATCAAGGGGATTTGCAGTCTGAGGAGTTAGGTTATGTAAGGGGGGGATGCAGTCGACGAAATTGTCTTACAGCCATAACTGGGTGCTCCTGCTTGTGTGGCATGGTGCAGAGTACTGTTGTCAGAGACAGGGTCTTCAAGCAGCCATCCTTTTGATCCAGGGCAGCACTACCTCCTCAATACACTTGATGTAGGCCTCCGTGTTGAGTTTGAAGCTCCGTGGGAAGTTGAATGATGGCATAACGTCGCTATGACTAATGATCACTCCAAACACCTTCGTAATCACCATTAGACACATACAACTCTTTCCGAGTCCTCTACACTGTCCTCAGATTGAAACCCAAACACTCTGAAATGTTCGTATTGGAACTTCCGGTGCGAATGTCAAGAAGTACAGCATGATATTTCCAGATTTCGCGAAATTTAAAAAAAAAAATTACCCATCGCACCATTTATATACCTAAATGACATTAAAAAAATTCTAAATTTGAAATTCCTAGTGTCTCCCGTTCGTACGCATCAACGTAAACAAAACTAGTCCGATGAAGTCCTAAATGACGAAACGCGTCACAGGAAAACTTTTTCCACTTTGTCATACATCTTTCCTTCAAAACTGTTCTTGATATATAAAAAATTATCTATCGTTATCCCGCATAGCAGAACTAGGAAGGAAAGTGTGCAGAGTGTGGTCGTCTCACCTCATCACAAAGGTTCGGTCAGCAACCGTTTCTTGTAAAGCCGTTTTTGGCCAAATACTACCTTCTCCAGGTCGGACAAGGACCATATTTCCCAAATATCGACACTTTTCGTTTTCAAAAATCAAGTATCGTTCGGTTAGCAAAGTCGAATTTATTGCTTTTAATCTTCAATCATCCATGAACCTCTCACATACATTCATATCTGCTCATGGCGTATCAAAAAAATGACGTCACACATTATGAAATATACAATGTCCGACAATTATTTTAAGACATTTTTATGTTTATACATTTTTTCTATAGATACAAATATTTAAAGAATGTATAAACATAAAATGTCTTAAAATAATTGTCGGGCGTGGACGACCGAGCGATCCTCTGTGGCCGAATCGGTTAAAAGGCACGTCAGTCTATATGACTGTTCCGTATAGGATACAGGTTCGAATCCTGTAGGAGATTGGATATTTTCTATGAAGATTTCTCGGACAGTCAGGCCGGTAAATGTTGTTTATTACAGAGCATTTACTTAAATATTTGTATCTATAAAAATTAAAATAATTGTCGGACTTTCTCCATTTTATATATATATATATATATATATATACTTTAAAAAATTTTTATAACTTTATTTGTATTTGCGATAGAAATAATTTTAAAAATGATTAGAAAGAAGTAAATCTATATTTTTTAAGATTTTATTGAAATTTTATTTAAGTTTCCACATGTCCTCCATCATTAGCAATACAAAGGGTAATATGTTTTTCCAGTTCACGGAAAACATTTGCCAACTGATTTACACTAATTTGCAGCAAATTTTGTGGTAAAGAATTATTCAATAACTATACTTAAAACTGGGTACATTAAACTTTATAAAATGTTTTACAGATTATTTCTATCGCAAATACAAATAAAAGTATAAACTTTTTAAAGTGTACACGAAATTTATGGACAACATGTATATATATATATATATATATATATATATATATATATATATATATATATATATATATATATATATATATATAGGATATTTAAATGTATTTAATGATATTTTTATATATATATATATATATATATATATATATATATATATATATATATATATATACGAACAGAGCATGGGTTCCAGACATCTGTATACTGTGAACCGACATTCACCGGACAGTACCTGAATTTCA